ACCTTTCTATGACCTTTCTTGTTATATATGGAAGCCATAATTATAAAAGAATGTAACATAATAAAGGGAGAATGCAGAGGTCTGTGAGACCTGGGAAAGCTATGACTTTTTTCCCCTTCAAACCTAGCAAATCTGAGTGTGGAACTGAGTGTTCCAGCAAAGAATCCTGCTGCCTGCTGCTTTCAGCCCACCCACTCAGAGTCTTCTGTCAGTGTGGGTGCTTTTATGATCTCTTTTTAATTAAGTTTCACTTCTTCAAATGATTGAGGTTGCTAGGTGGGCACAGGGAGCCATCCTTGACCCCACAGAGGGCACTCAGATGAGCACACCAAGCTGTCCCTGTTGCCTGGCCAGGCTGCTGCAGCCGTCCACCTATTGCAGGAGGTCAGCAAGACCTCCTCCATGGGAACAGGGTGTCATTGTGTCACTGACCTGCCCACACAAGGTCAGTATGGATCTGTGGGCCTCATGCCAGCTGAGGCCTTGCTGCAGTAGAGGAGGCCTGTGGAGCCCACAGCAGCAGTGTGGCCCAAATGTTCCTACGCCAGGGAAAAATGGTATTCAGGGTCCTGGGAAGAGGGGCACCTCAGCCTGGGGAGATTGGAGGTAATGGTAGGTGGCATTGGTTTGAATTTTCCCAGCAAGAGTTGTCTGGATAAGAGGGCCGTCTGGAATTGTCAAGAACTGTAGTAACTTGCTCAGGCTGGGATTTCTGAAGGTGAATGGGGCAGAAGGGTTCAGAGGACAAGAAGTGGATGTTCAGGAGAGCGGTGGCAGTGGGTGGTCTGGAAAGGTTTGGGGAGGTAGACTTGGCAGGAGTCAGAGCTGGGAGAGGTGGGTGGCACCCGGAGCAAGTCTGGGAGGCCAGCCTTCGAGCTTGCCCGTGGAGGTGGGTGGTGCATGCCATTTGCCAAGGAAGCAGATGGCGGGTGGGTATGTGAGGGCTGTCTGGGCTCAGGCCCTGCTGAGAAGAGGGAGCTAGGCGCAGGAAGGAGGGCTGGCCGACAGAGAGGGTGTAAGCCCAGAGCGTCTGTAGAGTGGAATATCTTCACACTTCTTTGAGCAGCAGAACCTTTCATGATTCCTCCCTGACAAGAATGTGTTACACATGCGGCCTTAGAGCAGATGCAACCAAGGCCACAAAGTCCAAAGCCCCTGTCCAGAGGCCCCTTGGGTGCTACAAGGCTGAATCAGAGAGCAGATGCCAGATAAGGAAGGGCCATGCACTCCACAGTGGGGTATAGCCTGGTGTCCATAGCCACACAGACTATATGTTAATAAAGATTTTCAAAGGCGTGTGTGTGTGTGTGCGCGCGCGCGCGTGCAAAATCGCTTTTTCAAGGTGGCTTCCAACTGCTTCTCCTCCTCCATCAGCCTCCAGACTAACTGGACTTACAGGTGTACATCACTGCCCATCTCAAAGGACATTTTGGTAGTATCTGTTAAAAATTATATATCCTGGGCCGGGGATTTAGCTCAGTGGCTCAGACACTTGCCTGCTAAGCATAAGGTCATAAGTTTGATGCCTGGTATAAAAAAAATTACATATCCTTAACTAGAGGTTGTAGAACATATGTGTAATCCCAGCTACTCAGGAGGCTGAGGCAGGAGGATGACATTTCTGTCAGAGCAAATCACAAAAATGTGCATGTATTTGTATGTAGTATATTTTGAAGCAGTTGAAACAGTGTACCTCACATGTTAACAAAAGTTATCTCTGGGACCTGGAATTAAAGAGACTTCCTCTCCTCTAAACTTTGGTTGGTGTCTGTTACTTTTAAACTTTTTTCTCTCAAGTAGCTAGCATCTGCTCACTGATTCAGCTTTGTAGCACCCAAGGGGCCTCTGGACAGGAGCTTTGGACTTTGTGCCCTTGGTTGCATCTGCTCTAAGGCCCCATGTGTAACACATTCTTGTCAGGGAGAATGATGAAGGATTCTGCTGCTCAAAGAAGTGTGAAGACATTCCTAGCTGATCCTTTAAGACAAAAAAAAAAAAAAAAAAAAAAAAAAAAAAAAAGATTTTGGGAAGATGAAAGCCACTCTAGTTGGCCTGGTGGGAAGAGACACTACATGCAGGGGAGAGGGCTGAGGGGCTGCGAGGGGCCTTAGTCCCGGGAGGGGTCTGCTGGGCAGTGGAGGGACATGGAAGTTTGGAGGAGGGTCTGCGAAACCAAGTCGGATGCCAAAGTGACTGTCAGGTTCACTGGGCCCCATGGGCTCCTGTCCCTCCTAAGTTGTCAGGGGACATACTTACTGCCTGGTTGTTGACAGTTTGTAGCTGTCGGCTGAAGCTCCTATGCTAAACAAAGCAAAGTAAAAGAATGAAGATAATAGGGTTGTGACAGTTAGATCACGCACCTAAGCCTGTGCTGTTTGCCCAGGAGTCGAATGCTGATGTCTGTGTTACCTGCTAAAAGAAGGATTCTCCCTCCAGGTACCACTCAGTAGTAACCTTTTTGTCCACTCTAAAAGAAACAGGATAGGATGTGGGACCAAAACGCTGGAACTCTGCCCACGTTTGTACATTTTCATGCTTCTTGGCCTAGTACCCTTTTTCTTCTGAAGTCGGAAGGATGATGACTAACATCAAGCACAAAGGAGACCCACTTAGAGTACTCTGCTTTGTTCACTCAGCACTTGGGCCTGCTCCTTTTCTTTAGGCTTGGGTGTTTCACAGTCATTCTGGTTTAGCAGGTTCCTACTTGGGTCAAGCCAATTCCTCAATAGTGTGTTTTCCTCGCCCCAGAACTTCTGTGCTATTTACCACCACCAGCTAGACTAGGTAAGCACCCACAGAGGCGCCCCCTTTCAGCGCAACTCCTTCCCTTCCCCCAGCAACCCTTTATCTGCCTCTTTATTTTTTGTCTGAAGACCCAGCCTCCTTTCCCAAAAGTTCATCAGGTAAAGAATGGGCAGCCGAAAGGAGCTCATTATTTCAGAAATGAACATCTCACATAGCCCACTTTCTGTCTTAAAGAATTAAATTTTTTTCTGAGCCTGGTTAAGTTTCCTTCAACTACTCTATTGGAATAACTTCCTTCCACATTTTAATTTTACATGTATTTTGTTTGTTTATATTACATCTTCCCAGGGTCATTGTGGTGCAGATTACTTTTGTTATAACTATATTTTAACCTCAACACTTTCCTGGGACTTTAATTTATAACAGTGTGTTACATACATGCCGTCCAAATGGAATACTTTCAGAAGCCCAAATGGTTTCTGTCCAGGTTTATGGATCCAAGCTGAAACTTAAAAGAGCTTAAAAAAGATGCTCGCTGGCTGGCAGTGTAGATCAATAGATGAGCACTTGTCTAGCATGTATGAGGCTCTGGGTTCCAGCCCCAGCACTGTAAAACAAAACAAAACAAAACAAAAGGATGCTTTCTTCCAAACCATTTTGACTCTGCTGAATTCTAGTCACACCACCCTAGCAACAGAATTAAGGGATACCATTGATTGTGTTTCTAAATTAGGGGAATCCAATGACAGTAAGGAAATGTTTGGCTCACCATTCATTTTGTGGAAGAAGTGACTGATACTCCATGTCCTGCCTCTGAGTTTAGGACTATTAATAAATAGTGAACAAGCCCTGGTGGCTGTCTGATTTGCAAGGAGTGAGATGTCACTGACAGATCGCCGGGGAAGATGGATATTCTGTCTGTGTCAGCAGAGAAATGATGAATAATAAACATGAATTTGCACCGTCTGGGTTGAGATTTCCTAGTAAGAATGGATGTTTATTAAAAAATATTAGTGATCATGGACACTTTTGTCTCTTACACTTCAGTACCTTCCTTTTAGAACAGCTTAGTGAATTGCTATTTCAGTTTTAGTCTCAATTACTTGTTTTCCAAAGCTTAATTACTTAGTAACTCCTTAAAAATGTATAAGCACAACCAGTGGACTGTTTCTTTGATCTTGGGTAAGAGGTTTTGTTCTTGTTTTGCTTTTAATTTGGTAGTTGCAGGGGCTCATTGATTTGTATGTTGCTAATAATAGCTGTTAGATGAAGTGAATGATCCACTTCAAAATAAACTTGGCCTGAAGGCAAGGATTTGTCATGACTGCTAGGAGAGGCCTATATATGCTGAAAATTTCCAGTAGCTTGCAACTGATTTGGAATTTATGAACAGTTCGTGCAGACAGTTCAAGCAAGCATCAAAACCTCATTTAAAATTACTTCATGCTAGCTGGCAAAGTTTCTGGCATGAGAATGACACAAATTAAATAAAATGTAGTATTCTCATAAGATTGTTCTGTTTGGGTTTTTGAGACAAGGTCTCACAGGCTGGTCTCAAGCTCACCATGTAGCCCAGACCAGCCTCTAACTCAAGGGAATCCTCTGCCTCAGCCTCCCAGCCTCAGAGTGCTAGGGTTACAGGCATGGACCACCATGCCCAGCTTATTTCTGTAAGTTTTTTGGGAGATTGGTCAGCTGATCCTTAATAATGGTTTGTTCATTCACTCAATGCATATGTATGAATTTATTTGCCAAGCATTTGTTCATTCAACAAAGATTTCTAAAGTGTCTGCATTATCCTACACATTAACTAGGAAATGGGACACACCAGTGACCAGGCAGACACAGCCCCACCCTCATGGCACTGACAATGCACTGGAGAACAGTGTTCAAACTCCTGACATTCCAAGTGTGCTAGGTAGAGTGTTTTTATTTATGTATGTATTTTTATTTATTTGTTTGGGGGTTTTTGGAAACAAGATTTCACTATGTAGTGCAGGTTGGTCTCAAACTCACAGCGATCCTCCTGGCTCAGCCTCCTGAGTGCTAGGGTTACAATGTGTGCCACCAGGCACCGCAGAAGAAGTCTTTTTAAAACTAAGGAGAAACTAGTCCCTGTTCCTTGGAGGTACACAGCTAGTTAGGGAGCAGACACAGCAAACAAGCCTTTTTGGAAGGTACTGGAGAATGCAGAGGCAGTGAAGTCGGGTATTGGTATGAGCTGGAAGTGCTAATTACTACCCTCTGCCCCACAGCATGGACAAAGACAGCCCTGATGTCCACCAGGACCTGAATGCCCTCAAAACCAAATTCCAGGAGATGCGCAGACTCATCAGCACCATGCCTGGCATCCAGCTGAGCCCTGAGCAGCAGCAGCAGCAGCTGCACAACCTGCGGGAGCAAGTCAGGACTAAGAACGAACTTCTGCAGAAATACAAGAGCCTCTGCATGTTTGAGATCCCCAAGGAGTAGAGCAAGACAACCTCCAGGACTGCCTGAGAAAGGAGGAGGGAGCCAGCGACCTTGCCAGCTCCCCACTCTCTCACTGGCTCTGCTCATTTAACCCCAGCTCTGAACTGTAGACAAGTGGGGCTGGTGTGGTGGTTCATTAACTGAATTTGGTCTTGGCTGTGTGGGCCTTGGCCTCTGGCTTGTATGTGTACGTGTGTCTTGTGCATCCTGACTCTTGAGTGGCTACAGGAAAGAATCTTCTGAGGCAAGGGATGGGGAGGACGCCACCCTGTCTCTGGGGAGGGCCACTGCTGTGCCCCTCTGAAAGGCACTGTAGGGGAGGAGCAGCTCCTGCTGTCTCCTGCCCTTGGCTCCTCCCACCACACTTATCATCATGGTGTATCGGGCACCTTCTGTTCTCATTAGCAGCAGTTTTATGAAGCATTTGCATAGAACTCACTGCTTGAGTTAGGTCTGCACTTGTATGGCATGCATTTAAGAAAATTAAAGAAGGTTGTGAAAAATGAACACTGTTTTGAAAGGCCAGAGGGTGGGTGGCTTTTCCTCCACAAAACAGTTTAGTTCTCTTTGTGTTTGAGCCAGTGAACAACTATATTCTGTAGGGTGTCACCCCAGAGCCCTGGCAGGGGCGCTACCTCCTTCACCACTTCCTTGCAGCTGGCTCTCACTTTGTCTCCTGTAACCATGGGACCCAAGAGGAGGTGGCACCCCACAGTGCAGTGTTTCCTGGGGATGGAGAAGCCCCTGTTTCCCACACGGGTCCAGTCAGATTTTCCACAAGCACACCTTCCTCCGGTCCATATTGCCCTGGCTTAGGGCATTGTTTCCTGTCTGGCCTGCTCACCAAGGAGCCATTGTATGTGCGGCCCTGCACAGGGTTTCCAAGATGTTTTTGTTCAGAGAATAATGGCTCTAGTGGCAGTTGGATACTCTATCAGCCAGGTGTCTGGGCCAGCTCTGGATCAGTGCTGATGCGATGTGAACTTGACCTGCAAGCTGTGGCCAACTTCTCATTCTTAGGTGTTTACATATACACTTGCTGTCCCCCAGCTCCACTGATCTGTTCCAGCTAGGTGGTGTTCGTGTCCTTACCTGTGACTGTCATACTGAGGTGATGCCCCCTGCTCCTGAGGGGAAGGGAGAAGTCACTAAACAGTGTTTGGATCTAGAAATGGGCTCACTGACTATGTTACCCAGTCAGGGGCTTAGCAGCCACCTGCCAATGGCCTCATCAGCAGCAGGGCTGGGGTTTGTAGCACAGGGTCCAGTGGCATCAGCTTGATCGGTGTCAGCAGATAGGTGGCATGTTGGGATCCCACAGCTGTGTGAGGGAAGGTACCAGCATTCAGTGCCCAGAAAAGCAGGCTCTGAGTTGAAGTGGGTAATTAATTACTTGTTAGACCGTTCTACCTAGAGATCGATACTTAACTGAATCAGTTATTTTCTTCAAATTTCACAGTAGTGGGGGGGGCAGTTTTAAGGCTTTGACTAAATACCACAAAACATGAAGCACATGGCACATGCCTATAATCCCAGCACAGGAGGACCGCTGAGTTCAAGGACAGCGTGGACTACCTCCTAAGACCCTGTCTCAAAAAAAAAAAAATCCAGACCTTCGAGTCTTTCTATGAGGCTGGAGTGGAAAGAGGCAGAGGGAAACAGAAACCCTCCTGCATTCCAGTTTTGACATGAGTTTTGACTTGTGACATTTTGCAAACATATAAGTAAAAGAACTTATGTTCTGCTCTCAAGACACCATGGTCTGTTTTCTCCGTGCTGGAGGTTAAACCCAGGGAATATGAGATTTTATGAAGAAGTCAAAGTGGGTGTCTCTTGATTGGTTGAAAGTGTTGCTTAGACCCAATGAAACTGGAAGACCCTAGCTCCTTCTCTTCCTCCCCCCAGTGCCTGTAACCAGTGTAACATGGAATGGTGACTTGTCCCAGCATCTGGCTGGGAGTTGCTTGGGGCTACCCCTTATTGTAGAGGTGGGTGACTTTTGGTGGTCTGAGGACAGTCCTGGCTGAGAGCACTCTCTGCAGAACAAGGTGAAATCCTTTGCCGGGGACAATGTTGACAATGTCTCTCCAGGGCTTAGCATCCTTTCAGGCCACCAATTATTTGGCTTTTTGGACAGCAGGCTCTTGTGCCAAGTACTTTTCAAGCACTACACTTAATCCCCACATGCAGAGGAGCCTTCTTTGTATTTCTCAGGTGGTAAAGGCTTGACAGGTTTGAAGTGGGTGGCAGAATTGGGTCACAAGTCACAGATAGGTGCCCTTAACCACCCAAAGTGAATCAGCAAAGCACAGGGGCCCATTGGACTCCACTGGGGGCAGCAACCCCCTTTGGAAACTGGAAGGAGCTCAGAGCCATGGGACTTTTAACTGTCTCCAGGCAGTGATGATCCTGGAGCAAGGGGACAAAGGGCCAGCACCAGCCTGCTCTCCCTAGGTTCCATTTCCTTGTGTGTAACAGCTGGGCCTGGGTAGCACATCCAACAATCTTGAGTTTTGAGCTTAACCGTCTGTACCCTAGGCCTGCCCCAAATTTGTATTAATCCAGTCATCTGGAGCTACTTTGGAGCCCTTTCTGCCATGAAGCCACAAGTTATTTTCAGCAAGACAAGATTACTTTCTAATTCTGGAGAAGGTGAGGACCAGCACCGCAGAAATGGGTCCCCTCCCCCAACAGTCCTATCCAAAAGCAAAAACAAAAAAAAAGCCTAATTTGTTCATTTTAAATGATTTTTATTTTATATCAAAAACCATCAACAATAACTTTAAAGACCTCACACGTATAAATGCCTAGAGAGTTTGTTCATTTCCGTGTTGACACTGGAACTTCTATTAAAGTGCAAGTTTTGTGTTTTGTTTTTCCTTGTGCAACTTTACACACACATACACACACACAATGTAAACAAGTCATTTGGCTATGATTTGACCCACTCCCTCCTCAGTTTCTGGAGGGCAGAGGCTTTGGCCAGCCTCTTGGCAACGTGGAATCACAGATAAGATAATGCCCAGTTGGTCCTGACCCTATCCCAAGCGGAGGGGACAGGATGGTTACTTGACGCCTGACAGTGGCAGATGAACTTGACTCCCTCTCCCCCACTCCCATTCTCAAGTCTCCCCCAGAAAAGAATATAGATTTCCCCTTCTGCCAGCAGCCTGTCCCCCGTGTGGTGGGGGTGGGACGCCTATGGGGGAGGGTCGGAGGTGGGAGTGTCTCAGTCTCAGCTGGTTCTTTGCTTCCAGAACAGATGACTGTCCCTTCTCAAGTGGCGCCTTCCCAAAGCGCAGACCTGGTCTGGAAAGGGAAAATACCACAGCGCGCGCGCTCTCCAGGACCTGGACGCACGGGGGACTGGCTGGGAGTTGGATTTTATTTTTAAACAAAATTGGTCCTCCTCAGGTTGCTTTCTGGCGGGGCTAGGGCTTCTAGCTGATGACGCAGCGCTCCTTGTCCTTGGCCTGGCTGCCCCCACTAGCCTTCTCGCGGATATACATGAGGTCGCTGTGCACGCTGGGCCTGCGCGCGAAGGGCGCCACGATGCCGAAGGCGTCACCGGGGTCACTGCTGCCGCCGCTGCCCGCCCGCAACAGCTTCTTGTTGCGCAGCGCCTTCTTGTGCAGCACGTCGCAGTACTGAACTGACACCTTGCGGTGTAAGTCCGGACTCATCTCGCTTGGCAGCTTGGCCATGGCGAAGAGCGCGCGAAACATCTGGTCCAGACTGCTGTTCTTTTTGGCTGAGATCTCGAAGTAGGCGCAGCGCTGGGGGTCGTCGCCCACCAGTTGGTCGATCTCACGCTGCTCCACCTCCCGGTAGAAATCTCGGTCCCCTTTGTTACCGCAGATGACCAGGGGAACGTCCACGTTCTCCTTAGTTTTGTTCTTGAGGCAAGATTTGGTGTCCAGGATCTGCTGCTTGAGCCTTTGCACCTCCTCGAAAGAGTCGCGGTTGTCCAGGCTGAACACCAGGATGAAAACATCTCCTGTGGAGGGGACAGAGAGGAGAAAAAGATGAGGGCACTGCCAAAAGGGTTCCTGCAGCCGCGCGAGGCGCGCTGACCTCTCCAAGCGCAAAGCGCAAAACTCAGCGCGCAATACCCAGACCCACGGACTGCGCTACTCCTTGCCCGACGCCCCTAAACCGAATAGAGTCATGATCCCCTCCGGCCCCCCTACTGGCTGCCCGATCGGGCTCCCTACTTACCTGTGAGGATAGAGAGACGCCGCATGGCAGGGAACGGGTGGTTGCCGGACGTATCGAGAATGTCCAGCTGGTAGACCTCGCCGCGGATGGAGTAGAACTTGCGGTGGAAGTCCTCGATGGTGGGCGTGTAGGCTTCCTCGAAGCGGCCCGTGAGGAAGCGCGAAACGATGGCCGTCTTGCCCACCTTGGACGAGCCGAGGATGACCATGCGATAACAGTTCTTGGCCGGAATACTCAGCTCTGAGTCGCTCGGGCACATCTTCTTGATCATCGCAGCCAGTTTCATTGGGCAGGGGGCGCAGACCCTCCGCGAGGGCAGGAGAGGGACCCGAGAGAAGCGCGGGGACAGTCGGGGGCACGGGCGAGGCGGCGCTGGGTGGCCAGAGGGCTCTGCTCCGACCGGGTTTTGCTCGGGCTGGGGTTCGGCTGCGGCTCCGCTCCCCTTGGGCTCTCAGGGCCAGACGGCGAGCTCTGCCTCTGCCGCCCGCCGCCGCTCTTATAAGCAGCCCGCGAGGCCGCCCCGCCTCCCAGCCCCGGTGCGTCACGCCCCGCGGGCGCCCTCGCCGCCTCCCACCCGCGGCGACCTGGGCCAGCTGCTGCGCGCGCCTGCCCTTGGGCTGGGAAGCAAACCGCGTCCAGCCTGGGTGACAGCCGGACGGATCCTGCGCTCTAACGTCGCGGCTGTTGCCCAAGCGTTGGGGTTCTGGTCCTGTCTATGCCTCCGACCCTCTGCAACTTCTGGCAGAGACCCCCACCGCATAACGCACCCGCCCATGTACAGAAAATAAAGATACTAACCTGCAATAGCAACGTTTGCTGGGCGCTGGGGCGTACCGTATCTTTTCAGTCCTCAGATGAGAGGCCCCAAAGCCAGTTCCTCTGGTCCCTCGGCCAGTTCTTATTCCCAGGGGGCGTTGGCGAGCGACGCAGTTACTGGCTTTCCGCTGTGGGGTCCGCGCTGCACACTGCGGCCGCCAGGGAGCAGCAGAGGACCCACCTGCAGCGCGGGAAGCAGCAGGCGCGTCTCAGGTTGGAATGGGGTGCAGGGGCAGCTGGTGGGGCCCGGGAACCAAGCGGCGCCGGTCTTGGGCTCTGAACTGGGGCCCAGCAGAACCTGACCCCCAACTCCTGCCCTCCACCTCAGGCCTCAGCCTGCTCCTTTCTCCCAACCAAAGATGTTCTGTGACATAAAGAGATCCTTACCCACGGAAGGCCCCTTTTCCTTTCCAGTCTAACCTCCAGCGGGCCAGAGACTGGCCCATCTGAGTTCAGGGTGTTGTCCACTCCCCCTCCCGCAATGCATTTGAGGGCTTTACAGTCGCGTGGGCCAACACTCCCATTTTGTAGTTCAGGGAACTGGGACTCAAAACAGAGGGATGGGGGTGAGGGAGGCTGGGAGCATAACTTTCTTTGGTCTTCAGTTTCCCCTTCTTGAATATGGTGTTTCTGGTTCTGTGATTGTGGGTGAGAACGCCCAAGAACTTTAGGAAGGCATGACCTGACCATAACAATAACAATAACAATGAGTAGTAGTAAATGACCCATGAGTTCCCTGGCAAGGGGGCAGCTTAAGGTTGATCAGTAACCAGAAGTGGGTGGAATGCTGCAGAAAGGCCCAGAAATAGCACGTCAGCAACTAATGCTCCAGCTCGGGTGGAAAGACCATTCTGGCCATAACAGCCCAGGCTGTACTATGTCTTGCTTTGGTAGGATTCAGTTTAGAAAAATTCCACGGAGCTATTAGCGGACGCCACCCAACCATCTGTGGGTTCTGGTGCTGGTGTAGGTGCCAGCTGTTTACAGAGGGGGCCTGCCTGTGGACTCTCGTTTGCCCAGGGAGGGGTTCTCAATGCATTGCCTTCTGTCCCTCCCAGCAGAGCCAGAGCCAGGAAGTAGTCTGTGCCTCTGCAAAGGAGTACAACTCACCCACACCTAGAGCTCTCATGGACCCAGGAGTGTTGATTCTTTTTTTTTTTTTTTTTTTTTTGGTCTTTTTCGTTTTTTTTAATCGGTACCAGGGATCGAACTCACGACTGCCTGCTTGCAAGGCAGGTGCTTATGCCGCTGAGCTAAATCCCCAGCCCCAGGAGTGTTGATTTTTGTGTCAGGCCTGTTCTAAGTGATGCCACCCTCCCTGAGGCATCCTTGGGGGACAGGAACTAGTATTCTTTCCATTGTACAGATGGCAAAACTCAAGTACTAGAAAGTGACTTGCTGGGGACCCACAGCTAGTAACAGCGGTTGGGGCTGGAACCCTAAGGCCATCTGGCTCTTCACTCCAGTTCTCCTTCCTATGCTTGGCACTACTCTCATAGCATCTGGTTTCTTTTTGGCCTTTGGAAATCTCAAAAACACAGCAGCCAGACCTAAAATGTGTCAGCAGCCCAGGCCCAGGCCTGATTCCCAGTGGAATTTACACAGGAGTTACCTGACAGGCCGGCTGAGGTTGGATCCTCCACCATGCTTAGTTCTTGCCTGCTGATGATGGGGTGAACACGTCTGCCCTATGAGGTGAAGAGTATAGCTCATAGCAAGTGCACACTGCTGTGTACAGTGTTGCAGGGCATTCTCTATGGAAACGGCCAGTAGAGTGCAAGCAGGGGCTTGTTACTCCCAGACTGAGGGCTGCTTGGTCTGCCTCCCACAAAAACATCAAGCAGATGACTGGGGCTCCTCTCAGGATGACTTCTGGCCATGACTGGAGGAATGGTGGCCTGCACAGCCTTTTCCCCCTGGGTCTGCAGTTCTGGGGTGGAGTGGGGGTCTGTTGATGAGAGTATAGGGTCAGCAGGTGACAGGATCAAGGATCCACCCACCTCTTCCCATGGAGATCTGGAGTGGCCGGGGCCTAACCTAGATTCAGAACCTCCCTCCTGGTCCCCAGTCAGTCTCAACGCTGGCCCTGATAGCACTCCCTAACTCCTCCCACTGGTCAGGGATGGCGGCAGATACAGGGCAGCCATGACTATGCCTGGTACCTTCTGGGCATGACACCTACCTCAGGATGCTGGGTCTTTACAGCTCCTCCCCCAAGTAAGCAAGTTCCTTCAGCTCCACTCTCCGACACTCCCATTCTGAAGGCCCAAAGTGCCTCTGGTGACTCCAGGGACCTCTCTCGCAGGAGCAGGTGAAGTCACTGGCTCAGTTTCCCTTGTCTACCTCCTCCTTTTTCTTTTCTTTTCAAAGAGTATCTTTTTCTTTTTATTACAAATGTAATAAGTGATTTTTTAAAGTCTAGACCATAGCAGAAAGAACCAGAGTGACCAGACATGGGAGGCAGGGCGCTTCTCAGCCATACCGAGGCCAGCTGAGCCAGCCTCCCAGCAGGACTGCCCAGCGGTTAACCGCAGTCTTCTTTTCCTTCTTCCAAAGTTTGCCTTCATCACTTGAGACTAAGCCCTGCCTCATCTGAGTGAGCACTGTGGCTGGGGCCTGAAAGACAAGCAGAACAATCCCATTAGGCTGTCTGGCCCCGAACTGGACTCGCACAGGAGGGACACAGATGCTCCCTGGCTTCCAGCCCTACCCACCCCCTGATTATTATGATACATGCTACTGTGCAGCAGATGCTTCTGCTCCTGTAGGCTTCACAGGCACGCACTATAAACCATTTCTGAGGCTAACAGCCTGTCTGTAAATGCCATTTTACTTGCAGTACAACAGTCTTCCTGCTCAGAATGGAAGGGAGCTCTGAGCATTTGGTCAAGTGTTGGGCATAATTGGGGAGCAGGATGGAAAACAGACCGTCACCCCCAACTTCAGGAAATATTGACCACAAAGCCTTGTTTACAGTAAAGAGATCCCAGAAGGTTCTTGAAATCTGGTTTGAGGGCCCATTAGGGCTTTGCCAGTGGTGATGTCCCAGGCCAGGGCCCACACAGAGGTGTACAGACACTTCCAGGGAGCGGTATAGGTACACAGAGCATGGGACCAAGTACCAGGAGGACCCTGACCTTCACCTCCATCCTGCTTCCTGGTGACCACATGACCCTGGTCCATTGGCACCTGCTGAAAAAGAAGAAAGAGACTAAACAGAGCTGGCTTTCTGTCCCCTCTGACAAGGTTCCTCCATTGAGCTGAGATCAAAACTGGCAGCCCCTTGTCAGTGACAAGCTCTGTTCCCATCATAGCAAACCCTCCCAGTAGAGGCCACCTCTATCCAAGGCTCCCAGCTCTGCTGCAAGTCCTATGCCAGCTCCCATAGCCTGTGTAGCCATGGGTTCCAACACTGCAGTTTTGTGGCCCTGCTCAGCCTGTTCTGTATGTGCAGAGGTCCTGGCAGAGGGAATGAGCCCCCTCACCTTCGCAGTATGCAAACAGAGAAGCAGGTATTGAAAAATTAGGCAAGTCACACTACATGGCCCTGGTGGCCCTCAAACCCTATGACAGGTGCTGTCCTCTCAACAGTGAGGGGTGGAGCAACGCTCTGCCCTAATCTGATATAATTTAAGATTTCAGCTTCATTCCATTAAATCAGTCCCATTCCTACCAGGAAGGTTGCGGTGACTCCGCATAAACATACCATCTATTGTTTAGGGCCCAGGGACACCGAACGCATGCTTATACTCTGATTTAGTGTAAACAACTTTCAGACAGAGGTGTCTGCAAAAATAACATCCTGTTCTGGAAGGCAGTGAGTTTCCCTCCCTTGGAAAAGGTCCCATCTGAGGTTTATGGGTCCACGTTCATCATGAACTTGCAGCCTCCTGAGTCTCCCAGCAGACAGGTGAGTGCACATTCCCACTCTGAGGGTAGAAAACCAGTGTGTGCTCCTGTGCTGCTCAACAATGTCTTGCTGGCAACTCCTTTGTGCTGAGAAGACAACAGTGCTCTTATTTTTATTTGTTTATATATTTATATTCATTAGGTATGAAGGCCTGAATGCAGAGCTGTCACGCTAAGCTATATCCCTAGTCCTTTTTGTTTTGAGACAGGGTCTCGCTACATAGTTTAGGCTGGCCTTGAATTTACTATTAGCCCATGCTGGCCTTGAACTTGCAGCAATTCTCCTGTCTCAGCTTCCTGAGTTCTAGGATTATAGGCATGTGATACCATGCTTTGCTATCCCAGTTCTTTTTTTTTTTTTTTGTCTTTTTCATTTTTATCAGTACCGGGGATTGAACTCACAACTGCCTGCTTGCAAGGCAGGTGCTTATGCCACTGAGCTAAATCCCCAGCACCCCCCCCCCAGTTCTTTTTAATTTTTACTTTTGAGATAGTTGCTAAATTGCCCAGGATGGACTTGACTTGTGATCCTCTTGCCTCAGCTTCCCAAAGTGCTGGAATTATACATGTATAGTTTCACAAACCATGCTTTTAGAAAAATGGAGGTAGCTGGGTATGGTGGTACAAATTTAAGACAGGCCTGGACAACACAGTGAGTTCAAAGTCAGCCTGAACTGCATAGGCAGACCCTGGCCCCCCTGTCCTGCCCCTCCAGCTCCTCTCTGACCAAAAAAAAAAAAACCACCAGAAAGAAAGAGGCCCTATTAAGGGCACAGTGTTCAAAAGCAGCCACATGACTGGAACTGGACAGAGGCACAGCACTCCATGCCATGCCTGGTCTGTCTCCCCTGGGGTGCCACCTGCCACCAGCTTCCCTAGGCTCTGCGTCACTGCTGAAGGAGGTATTTGCTCGGAGTTCACACTGTCCTGGTTGGCTGTGGCACTGGCGGAAGGTCCCAGCTCTGCCCTTGAAGACGCCTCACTTCTAGCCTAGCATTTTGGGCTTCAATACGTTTTTTTAAAAAAAGTTCCACCATAGAATGCCACTCAGGCTGAAGCTTAGTAAAGACAAAAGTAAAAAGGGCAGTGTGAGGTTGGATCCCTGGTGGTCTTTCTGTGGGCTCCTGTGTGGAGTGGCTGGCTCTGCACCCCACAGAAGGCTGTGCATAGCAGCAGCTTGCAGGCGACAAGCTGGGGGATCCTGTGGACTGTGACACTGCAGGACACAGGCCCAGCAAGGACAACAGACACTGAGGACCACAGGTGGTGCTGGAGCGGGGCTTGCCCGAGGCTCTCAATTTCTGGTTTGTTTTTTTTTTTTTTTTGTCTTTTTCTTTTTTTATCGGTACCGGGGAATCGAACTCACGACTGCCTGCTTGCAAGGCAGGCGCTTATGCCGCGGAGCTAAATCCCCAGCCCCGGCTCTCAATTTCTTAAGGCATAGGTTTGGATATGACAGTTCATAGCGCTGTTTTTCTGAGTTAGAATTGCACGGTGGCACACACCTGTAATCCCAGCACTCAGGATGCTGAGGCAGGAGGACTGCTGTGAGTTTGAGGCTAGTCGAGTGAATCCAAGGTTAGCCTGAAATAGTCAGACGCTGTCTCACAAAACCCAAAACAAAACAAACAAGAAATGGTCGAGCACTGGCACTCTGATGTGGTTCGATTTGACATACCCTAGCTCCAAGCAGGTTACACAAAACCAAAGCTAAGAGTGAGAAGTCTACGAGTGTCCTCCTGCCTTGAAGATTAGGCTTACAGGTCCTGTCTCATGCCCACCTCACAGCTTCCTATTTCTCCTGCTGTTCTTTGCATCTAGAGTGTCCCTCAAAGGCCATGTGTTGAAGGTCTGGGTGTCAATCCATGGTGCCGTTAGGGGTGATGGAGCCTTTAGGAGATGGGGCTTGGTTGGAGGAGACTGGGTCACTGGGATCATGTCTTTGGAGGGGCTACTGGAATCAGTTTCCTCTTTCCTTCCTGGCCACCAGGAACTTGCCAGCAAAGACTACTTGCCTTCCCAAAACACATGGTAAAATTTAACCCCCTGGAAGGTATTAGGGGTGGAAACGTGATCCGACTAGGTGTTCAGAGGGAGAACCACTGGAAGATAGTTAAATGAGGCCTGCAGACCAAAGGGACTGTGACCTTGTGAGAAGAGGCAGAAAGATGTAAATCAGAATGTTTCCTCACCACGTGATGCTCTGCATCGCCCTGGGATTCCATAGTCTTTGCTGGCAAGAAGCTCTCACCAGATATAGCCACCTGCTATAGTTTGAATGTTGAATGACCCCAGAGGCTCGTGTGAAAGGCTTGACCCCAGGATGGTACAATGGGAGGTAGTGGAGCGTTTAAGAAGTAAAGCCATGTGGGAGGTCTTTAGGTCATTAAAGGCGTTGCCTTGAAGGGAAGCTTTGGATCCTGACCTCTTCTTTATGCTCTCTGTTCCCTGGTGATGAGGTGAGATGCCCTGCAGTCTTGCCAAAGGTCCAAAGCAACAAGACTGACTGATGGACCGATCATGGACAGGAACCTCTATGACCAGAAGCCAAGTAAACCTTTTGCCTTTGTTATCTCAGGTATTTTGTCATAGCAACAGAGTACTGACTAACCACCCAGCCTTGAACTTCCCAGTGTTCGGTCATCAGCCAATTAAACATTTATTTATAAATTAATCTGTGATATTGTTGCAGCAACAACACACACACTAAAACAAGGATTGATACATGATAGGACATGGCTGATCTTCAAAGACAATGCTGGGCTGTGGGTACAGCTCAGGGACAGAGCACTTGCCTACTATGTGCAAGGCCTTGGGTTTAGTCTCCAGTACTGAAAAGAAAAAGATATTATGCCAAGTGAAAAACCAGACACAAGTGAAAAACCAGACGCAAATACTGTATTGTGATTCCATTTATATGAAATCCAGAGACAGAAAACAGAGTGGTGGTTAATTAATGCTAGAGATCTGCGGGATGACAGCTAAGGGACATGAAGTGATGGAAATGTCACATGACTGTGGCGATAGTTGTACAATCCTGTGGATAAACTAAAAGCCATCCTATTGGCTTTTAGCTGTGCTGAGCAGGTAACTTGTATATGAATTATGTCTCAATCAGGATGCTAAAATTAGCCTTGAAATGCAACTACGGAATGATATCTCCTTACCACATGATCTCCTTACCCTTGGGACCTTTTCATTGTGGACCTTGCTTCCAGCCAACAGCCTCGTCACTCTCTACTGAGCTGAACCCCACTCTATGGCTGGGGATCAAAGCCTCTCAGCAGGCTTCAGGGCCCGGGTCATGCTGCTCACCTGGGCAGGAAGGCTTCTCATCATTCCTGCCTCCACCGCACTGACACCCACTCATTCATAGGTAAAGGCTGAGATTTTATTCCAAGAACAATGGGGGGGCTGCCAGGGTGTCCTGAACAGTGTGGGAGTGGCGATGTCTTGGGGTGATATCCCACAGTGGTGAGAGTGGGAGCTCAGCTCAATGTGAGCTAGTGAGGGCCACAAATCAAGAAAGCCACGGAGGGTTCTGGGCCTCACAGGGAAATAGGAGGAGCAGGCTGCAGGGTGTGGAGGGGTTCAGGGCAGAAGCCCTCTGGGTACCTCCTGGCGCCAAACATGCCCACTGAGGAGCAGAGAAGGAGGCCAGAGAGGGCTCTGGTACTGGCAAACAGTGGCTGCTGCTGCCCCTGGCTCAGGCTGAGACACTGGTGAAGACCCTGGGGCTGCCTGCAGGGCACCTGGGACGGTGAGGACTCAGGTGTGCAACAGCCTGGCTCAGTGGTCTCAGCACACTCTGTCCATCAAGAGGGAACAGGGGAGGGACTCTCCTCAAAGAGGAGAGTCAAACTACCTGGGGGTCAAACTGTGGCCACAGCCCAGTGTGTCACGTGACTTCTGTTGCACTCCTTTTCTTTGAGGCCTGGAGTGGAGCTGCCTCGTGGCACTGGGAGGCCACCTTGGCCCTGTGGCCCTCAAAGGAATCCTACCTTGAGAGAGAAGGAGCCAGGTAAAGAGGAAGTGGGGAAGGGAGTGGTTCTGCCACCTAAGCCGTGCCCTGCTCTGGCTCTGTCCTCCCAGAGTCCCGAGCTCTCTTCCCCATGAGCACAAGGACAAAGATGGAGAGAACAGAGGAGGTGCTGGGGTCAGGATGCCTTTATTGGTGAGTAGGCACAGTTGGAGCATCAGGGCACAACGGTGTCAGTGGCCAAAGAACAGCGTATTCAGGACCCCCAAGGAAGTAGTTTCCAAGGCACTGGAATGGCCCATGCCGGGCCCAAGTAAGGAACAGTGGCCAGGTGCTGCTCTCCCCAGAGCAGGGTGGGGTCCTTGGGCCAGGCCAGACCAGCCAGGTGCCCTGCAGAGCCACCGCAGCTCTGTCATCTTCTCCGGTGGGACTTGGCAGGTTTTTGACGGTAGATCTCTGCAGTGAAGGGCCTGTGGGGTTGGGAGGGTAGGTTAGGCACCTGGTTGAGGCAGTGACTTCCACCCTGAATATAGACTGTCCCTCCCAGGGTAGATGAGACCCCAATCCCCACAATCCCCCAAAGCTGCTTCGTGCCTTCAGAGAGCAGGAGGCGCCAGGATTGCCTGCCTATCTGCCAGGTCTTGTGGGCCTCAGATGCGCCCACTCTGAGCTTCCTGACCTATGATCCATCCACTGTGGCCCTGCCAGTAGCAATCTGACTTTTGGGGAAGGCTCTCAAGGGAGAGGCATAGCCAGCTCCGCAGTCACACAGATGTCCCCCACGACAGCCCCTACTCACTCCTCATACTGGATGGCCACCATGTAGACGAAGGCCACCACCACTGTCAGCAGCAGGCCCGTGGGACTGGCGTGCCTGCAGAGAGAAGCCCAAGTCAATGGGATCCAGCCCTTCCTGCCGCCAGCATTGTGGGCCCTCATTCAGATGATGGGGCCACTGTATGGAATAGGCCAGGCCAGGCTGTCGCCCTTCCCGAGTCTAGCTTTCTAGCAAGCACCAGGGTCCGTGTCTCCTGGTCTGCCCACCTGCCTTTCTGGGTCCCCCAGGACGGGGCTGCTCCCTCCTCCCTCATCTCAGCCCCCAGCCTGGATCTCAGGATGGCGGGAGGGAGGTCCTGCCACCTGAGTCCTGGTCCCTGCTCACAGGGAAGACTCACAGCCACTACCCTGGGAAGCTCTGGCTGTGGGGCCTGGGGGTGCGAGGGTGACAGCAGTGTCACGCCTGGGTCTGCATAACACCTAGGCTGTGTGAGCTCCAGGCACACCCTGGAAGACCTACCCAGAGGACAGGAAGCCCGGGCAGTGTGTGCTGTGGGCCCAGGGCTGGACAGAGTGTCTGTCACAGCTCTCTACTGGTGACCAGCCTGTGACCTTGCTGTGCCAATGAGCACTGAGAGCTCATTAGAGACAGCACAAAGAGCCTGAGCACATCTGCCTCAGGACTCCAGAAATAGCTACTGCCCACCCATCTATTTCTATAGTTACCTCTGACTCCTCAGCTCCTGTAGGGCTGGGTGTTGTGTCCAGAGCAGCAAGCAGGAGAGAGGAGGGCGTCTCTGGGAGACACAGTAGGCAGTAGGGGCCAGCTCCAGGGCCAGGGGACTCTGCTCCCTTGGCTGTCCCCACCACAGGCTCTGCACCAAGCTCTCTGTTCCTACTGGACCACCATGGACTGGGACTCCCTTGCTCAAAACATAAAGCTATATGGGAGCCACAGTGGTCAGGGGCAGACATCATCAACACAGCTGCTGTGAGGGGCAAGGCCTGAGCTAAACTCTTTCCAGGCTCAGCGTGGACCTCTCCAGGGAAGTAGGTCACAAGGGCTCTAGACTCCCTGCCCTCACCATGCCTGCACTCAGAGGCTTTGAACTTGGAACAGTGGAAGAAACTAGAGACTAGGGGTTACCCTTCATCCTGGCAGACATGGCTCTTGATGTCTGTCTCCTGGCCTATGAGAAGGGGGCCATAGCCACGGGTGCCCATGAAGTCACCTCTCCCTCCTCACTGAAGAGGCACTTTGTCCCCAGCAAGGGCTCAGGAAAATCCTGGCCCTCAGCTGTGGTCCTGGTTACACGGCAACCTTGAAGGGAAATCCAGCTGGAGAAAGGAACCCCAGAGAGGGCCCCCCTCGACTGATGCTGGGACAGCCACCTCACCTGCAGCACACCTGCAGACAGAGCCTGTGGGTCACCTGTTTTTGGCTCATCCCTATGGAAAAGCCCCCTGACCCCTGAGCTGACTGTGAGACTCTGATGCCACAGAAGGGCCCTCCTGATCCCAGTCCATCTCCTGTTGCTGGAAACATCATCCACAGAAAACAGCAAAACAAAGTCCAGAGCTATGTGATGTGACTGGGGAAGCTGGGAACCAAGTCTGGCTCTGTCCCAGACTGGCTCTGTGGTCTGGGCCAGCCCTCAGCCTCAGTCCTCACACCTGTCATGGGAGAAAGACTGGACTAATTGACCTTTACCTCCTTCCAGTAGTCCAAATGAAACACATCTCTAGCACCTAAAAGACAATGACTAGTATGGTCCTAAATGCCTTCTCCTGCCCTGAGCCAAGACCCTGGGGGAGGGTTACAGAATCCCCTGTGAAGTGCTCCCAGCCAGCACACCCCCAAGGCCCCCATCATCCTAGGGCCAGATACCTGTGGAGCAAACAGCACCCTCCCAGGCCCTTCTCAGATTTCAGCCATTAGCGCCAAGCACATGATGACCCCTTCCCCCAAGGCCAGTGACCTTGAAGCCCCAGATCCTGTGGGTCACGGAGGAGACTGTGACATGATAGGTCGAGAAGCAAGAGTTTACATGTTGAGATTCCCCTTTTCATCTCCATAAAACCTCCACCTGCTGTCACCCTTGGTTCAGCTTGTCCCCCTAACAACCTAGTGTGGGGTGATGGTCCTACTCCGAAGTAAGGAAACTAATCCCAGAGAGTGCCTGCTTTGCAGAGGACTGGGAAGTAGAGGCCACTGAGAAGCCCCATCTGTGGGCCCCAGTCGGCAGGAGACACATGGGCTGTGGAAGGCTGTCAGCGGCCCTGCTGGGTCAGTGTCAGGCAGCCAGGTAATGGCTCGTCTCTAATGAGCCCTCAGATCAAAGGTCCTATCCCGCGGATAGCTGGGCCTCCCAATGACTGCTCCCCCCAGCACACACACACACACACACACACACACACACACACACACACACACACAGCTCCCAGAGAGTCACATGTTCCCAAGAGCCTTGGTCCAGCGAGCCTAAGCCCAGGTAACTTTCACTCTTGGGCACCAGGTTGGGGACCCCCCACACTAGGTTGTTAGGGGGGACAGGCCCTGGTGGTAACACTTGGGAACTCTGCTCCTGCACAGCTGACGAGCCACCAATTGCCGACTCTAGCACAGGGGACCTGGAGCACAAAGGAGTCACCAGGGGTCCCAGAGGGCTGGGTTGGAAGGACCAATTAGGGGCAAAGTGAGAGCACTCTGGGCAGAGGGCATGTGTGTGCATGCACATACACATCAGTCTCCCCACTCTCATGGGACAAGGACTGGTGCACGTGTGTACCAACACAGGGCTGGGCGCATTGGGGAACCAGGAGGCTGCCGGGAGGGCCTAAGTGGAGGAGGGATGTTGCAATTTGGGCTCATCCTGGGGGTCCCAAGTGGATGCTCTGTAGAATGAACAAGGCAGGGGGCTCACTGTCTGCCCCTCGTGAATCCACTGCCTGGCCCAGGCGAGAGTGATTGAGCAGTGGGGGCAGTCCACAGCTAAGGCTGCAGGGTCAGGGACTATGTGGCTAGAACACTGGGTGGGGGCCGGGTCAGGTCCCAGCCAGCCCCCTTAGCCCCCCTTACTTTATTGTCACACAGACCCCACAGCTGTGGCCCCAGGGCTGTGGAGAGTAGTGGCCACAGTTAGGGGAGGGGCACTGGGAATTCAGGCCAATAGCTTTCTCTTGACATCCCGCCATTACAGACCGAATCTTTCAGGGTCCTAAGGCCTCTCTGGTTTCTGGGACCATCTGTAATTCTAGCCAGATGGTTCCCAATGCCTCCTTCGTCACAGGGTCTCTGATCCCTGGTGTATATCCCCACACCTTGTCATGTCTATACCTGGCCAGGGCAGCCAACAGCCTGCTGCTGCCAGAGGAGGGCATCTGGCCTCCTGTGCTCAGCTCAGTTTCCCTCAGGAACACTCAGTGGTCACTATGATGGGCCAGGCTCCTTTGCATTCCTGGTGTGTGGGATCAGCAGACCCCTGAGGGCTTTCCCAGCCCTGTGCTAGCTCAGGGCTCACAAAACTCCAACCCACAGATCAAGATGCTTTTTACATTTTTAAACAGTTAAAAACAAGAACCCAGCACCCAGGAGGCTGAGGCAGGAGGATTCCTGTGGATTTGAGGCTGGCATGGGCTACATAGTAAGTTCAAGGCCAGCCTGTGCTATACAGTGAGACTCTCAAAAAGACAAAAACAAAACCCCCACAAGAATCCAAAGAATATTCCATGACACATGAAAACTATATGAAGTTCTGGTATCAGTGTCCATAAATGGAGCCACGTGGCCCATACCTTGCCATCTACTTCCCTGAGTGTCTGCACTGGGGACAGCCCAGTAGCTGTAACCTGTTAGGAAACTCAAGCCTCGACTCTCTGGCCCTTTAAGAGAAAGCCTGCCAAGCCCTGATCTGGAGGTTGTTCTGTTACCACAGATAAGAAACTTGTAGGCAATAAAGGTCCCCATAAAAACCTTACTATCTTTCCACTGGCCCAGCCCTCCCCTCAGGGCCCCCTGGGCTATCCCTTCCCTCATGGCACCCAGCAGGATGGGCATAGAACCTGGTACTCACATGAGGGCCCAGCCCAGGTAGTTGGCTGTGCTTCCACAGTACATGGGGTTGTCCACAATGCTGAAGGGGAACGTGGTCACTCTGGCCTCCATGAGGATCCCAAAGTAATCACCTGTGGATGAGGCAGGGCAGGGGAGGTCACTCAGCCATTGCCCTGGTCACCTGTGACTGATGGAGGACCCTGGAATCGGCTTTGGCAGGGCTGCAGGTGTGAGAGTCCCTGACCTGTAGGAGGCTGCCAACCTGCAGGGAGCCAGCACCCGGATCAAAGGGCCACTGCAAGCTGCCAAGTTCCACCAGCTGCTCTGTTCTTGTGGCTCTGCCCTCAGACCATCCTGGCCTTTCCCTTTTTCCTGCCTCTAAGGCTGTGCACATGCCCTTCCCTCGCCTGGGACAGCTCCTCTCCCTCTGCTCATATCACCTTCTTTGGAGCCGCATCACGGCTCCTTCTCCAGAAACAGGATGCCCCATCCCTCCCTCTTCTTCACCCCTGGCCAGCTGCTCAGTTCTGCTGGGGGCTGCTGGGCCGTGGCTCCAGGCCTACCCACCACCACCTCCCCTGTCCCTGGGGTGTCAGCCCTGGTGCTGCCTGGTTCCCAGCTGCAGCAGTGGTCCATCAGTCAGCCAGCCACCCAGGCACCCGCCACCCAGGAGCAAGTTTCCCTCACAGTTGCCCTAAACAGGAAGAAGCAACAGTGGGATCAAAGACACACAGGGCCAGGCAGAGCCCTTGTGCAGCGAGTGTCGCAAGTGGGCCAGGTGTAGCTGCTCAGTAAAGGATGCGGCTGTACCCTTCCGGGTTCCTCTCCCCAGACATCCTTCGCCTCCCATCATGCCCGAGGACAATGTGGCTTCATCCTGGGCGGAAAGTAGGGCAGCCAACCTGACAATGGGAAGCCACCGGCGGGAGGGACCTGATGGGCAATGCATTGCCCATTGTTGGGGACAGAGAGCCTGTGGAGCTGCCCAGAGAGGCTCTTTCTTCCAAGGAAGCAGGAAATGGGGTAGTGGGGCCTGGAGGGAGGTGGCACAGAAGCCTGCTTCGGGCTGACTCACAGGGAGGTGACTGCCTTGCCCTACATCCAGAGCCTCCTGGCTCTTTGGGTGCTTCTAGGCCGCTGGAAGGACATCCCAGGGCTGTGACGGACCTCACCGGCCTGATCCAGCCCTGGCCGACCATGGTACTAAGGGTTGTTCTCCCCACACCATCCACACTGCACCAGCCCTCTGTGTCCACACCCCCAGCCCTGCCCTCCAGGGCTGGTCCCTCTGCTCTTCCAGAGGACAGTACGGTGTCCCCTTCCCCAGGAGGCCCAGCCTTTCCTTGTCCACAGGTCCCAGAGGAGTCTCCTCCTGTCACTCCTTGTCCCACAGCTCTGCAAGGAGGACCAAATGGTGCAACCAGCCCTACTGGTGCCTGCTGTTCATTGCCGTGTCCCCTTCCTTCCACAACTCCCACCTTTCTGGGAAAGAAGCCTCAGCAGGGCTTCCGCCTGACATCCAACCCTGTCCTGCCATACCCCTGTGCAGCCAGGGTCACTGCCACCTCACGTGCAGACCTCCCTCCTCTGGATGTGCCTGCCAGCTCCCTGATTTTACCCTGCTCTTCCCAGGCCCCTCTTGCAGGATGACTTCCCGCAGCTGCTCCCTGAGCGAGAAGCCATGACCCACACTAACACCCCAGTGCTGCAGGTGCCATGGTCTAGGCAGGCCCCACCACAAAGGATCCAGGATGCAAACTCAAAGGTCACTTGCTCCTTCAGGGTATTATTAGTCCTGAGCACACAAGCCCAGAGAACAGAGTCTCCTGCTGTGAGCCTAAGCCCTGTGCGCACGGGGACATTGGGCAAACTGGCCAGTCTCTGTGGAGCTCTGGTGGGCCTTGGAAAAGAGTGCAGCCTGGAGACTTGCCAAGTCTCTGTATCTGACTGACGGCAGGGAGGAGAGGACCAGGCTTTCCAGCTCCTGCCAGGTGGCTTGGCAGCTGTGCTAATGCCTTGGCAGTCTGTACACTGGGACAGGATCTCTTTGGGTATGGGGCTGCCATTTTCCTTTGGTCCCTGTTCCCAAGCACCCCTCGCCCTCCAATCCCATGGCTGGTGTCCCCCTCAGTAGCTTTTTCTTCTAAACTTCCAAGGCCTGGAAGCTGCTGCTGTCACACGGGAGGCAGCAGCATCTGACCGGGCCAGCACTGGGCTGCCAGCCCAGAAGAATCAGCACCATGGGCAAGGTCCCTCCACCCCTTGATGTGCCTTGCAGTGGAGTATGGAGATGGCTGGGTCTCCTTTGCTCCCAGGGATATCACAGATTGTAGGTGGTGGCCATTCTACCCGTCCTCTCTGGACCCTCTTACCTAGGAAGGTTCCTGTGAACCCCAGTGCGAAGAAGCTGGAAAGCACAAATATGGTGCCCACACCCAGGAGTGCAAGGCCCAGGCAGTAGGTAGTGGGGTTTTCCAGACCCTCCATCTTGGGCTGGCTTAGCATGGCCTGTGTGAAGCTGCAGACAGAGGACAGGGGGAGACAATACGTCACTACACAGAGACAAGCACCTGAGACTGCAGTGGGCCCAGGGCTCACACACTCAAAGCCCACTGGAGCCTGGGCAACCTGGAAGACACTGTCCATTCCTTACTGCCACAGAACTGGGGCCAGGAGCAGGGACCCAGACTCGCCACAGTTTGGGTTTTTAAGAGAAGCCAAGATCCATGGTGGTGCTCACCTGTCAATCCCAGCACTCTGAGAGGATAGGGCGGGGGGACTGCAAACTCAAGCCCAGCCTGGGCAATGTAGTGAGACCCTAACTCAAAATAAGATCTGGGACGTAGCTCAGTACGAAGACACTAGATTCAATGGTTCAATACCTAGTACTGCAAAAGAGAGAAAGAGACATACAGAAAGACAAACAGAGGCAAAGGCAAGAGACAGAAAGACAAAGCCAGAGAGAGGGAGGGAAGGAAGGGGAGGGAGAGAGAGAGAGCCAGAGCCAGAGCCAGAAGAAACCTTGACATGTCTATGGAATACCCTACGTGTTAGGAATAGGCCAGTCATGTAGACCATTTGAGACTATACATTAGCAGGCTGGGTGCAATCCAAGGGCTGCCAGTGTGCAAATTCTGATCCTGTCTAGTGAACAACTTGTACTCCGGAGGACATTGAGGCTCAGAGAATGCGCATATGCAGAGCAGGTTGCACAGCACGTCTTGGCACCTGTGGTATGCCATACACGAACTTGGGTATTCCATATCCCAGCAGATTCAGAGCTGGGAGAGAGGCAGCCTGCACTGTTGCCTGGTCCCCGTGGCCCCTAAATAGGCCTGGTCACACCTGAGCAGCTGACCCATTCCCACCAAGTTCTTCTTTTGTGCAAGTCCCAAAGCCTTGCTCTGAGGTAATAGGCTGACTAGCAGGGCTGATTACAGGGCCCATCAGCGAGTGGGGGTGTGACTTCTCCGTGACTCCTGCTAGAAGGCCTGGAGCAAGCAGAATGCAGGTGGATGAGAGTGAGCACGGCTGAGAGAAAGGCGGTGGACACACCCAAGGAAAAGCACTGTGTGGGGACAAGCAATGTATGTACCAAATACACACTTCTTTGCACCATCAGGGTACTTGCGGGAGACGTGGAGGCCTGCTGCTCACAAAGAGCAATAACTCCTGCTCTACACCAGGTACTTACCAGCCCACTCAGCCACTCAACTCATCTGTCCATCCATTTACTCATCCATACATCCATTCCCACCCCTCTTCACACCCTCATTGGTCTACCTCCATCCCTGTCCACTCACCCACCTACCTGTCCCTCCACCCACTCACCCACACTTACCATCAACGCATCTACTCATCTACCACCCAGCCAGCCACTCGCCCATGCATTTATCCATCCATCTGCTCACCCACATATCTATTCATCTACCCCCCACCCACCCATCCATTCATACCCATGCATGCATCCATCCATTCACCCATCTACCCACCTCCCCATCCACTTATCCACCCACCTTATTTATTCACCCATCTATTCATGCACCCACCCGCCAGCCTATCTACCTATCCATCCACCTACCCACCAGTCCACACACCCACCTTTCAAGGCATTCACACATACACCATCAATCTAGCCACCACTCACAATCTATCCATCTACACATTTGTCTATCCATCAGAGTATATTCGTTTGTCAGGTTCTTTCAGTAGCATGACTCCATCACCTTCATCCCCTCACTGGCCTTGATATAGGAAAGAAGGTGATAAGGCAGACTGAGAAAGTGAGCGGGACCTGTCAGTTACAAACAAGATCCCCAAACAGTGCCAAACAATTCTCAGGATCTTGCATGTGGAGCTTCTTGCAGGCTCCCACGAGATGTGCACAGCAATAAAAGATCGGATGCCATGGGGAAGCTGCTTTTGTGACTCCCCACGGATAGCCTATGCAGCAGAGATGCAGTGTGTACTTTCATTTTTGTTTTTATTTTCTATTTGTCTTGTTCCACCTAAGTTTACTCTGCAGAGTTGATTTCTCCCATACTGATTTACCGCTCACTTTCTTTCTTTATATTTATTTTTTACCTCTCACTTTTTGAACAAACTTTGGCACCATTTTTGGTTCATCTCATCCAATTCCTTGAGGCAAGAACGATCCGCAATGCTTTTGATTAGTGAGCCGTTTCTAAAGGAACTACCTGACAACAGTCGGGAACAGGTTGTGGTAACATTATCCTCATGTGGTGCTTGCTAAACACTGCCTCCCAGAACTCTCCCTTCCAACTAGATTTTCAGTTCGTGGAACCAGGCTGTTCCTCCTTCTCTGTCTATCCCCTTGGCACATGGCACAAGCCAGCAATGGGCCAGGGGGAGAGGAGAAGGCCTGTAAACAAGCACTGTGGCAGAGACCTGCAGCTGACCTGTCACCAGTGATGTATATATGTCAGGGCAAACTCAGCTGCTGGTCACACGGCCCACACCCCTGGCTTTCCACCCACCTCCACCCTCCTCATCCCCTGCTGCCTGGCTCAGGGTCACCCTACACTCCGGATGGAGCTGCTGGCTTTGATTCAGGGTCATGCTGCCATAGAGCCAGGCAGGCATCATAGGCACCCTGGGTTGTAGGAGGTGGCCTTCTAGGCAGCCCCAGCCAATGAAGACATCAAGCTTGGTACTCCCAGTCCAGACACCTCTCCCACTTCCCGGTGTGCAGGAAGCAGAGTGTTGGGGGTGGGGTGTGGGGTGCTGAGAGGAATGAGCCCAGGCAAGGCAGAGCTCATGCCAGGGAACAGAATGCAGGGGTACGCTGAGTGGGGAGGGGTACTCTTACGAGCCAGGACAGTGACCCACCTTGAGGCCTAGGCCATTGGCTATGAGTTCTCCAGGGTCACCAGTGACTGCAAAAGAGCTTCAGGCTCCTGGAGGAAGAGTAGAATGGGGCTGCCACCAGAACCAAGCTCCCAGCCTCAGTCTTCCTCTCTGCGATATGATGCTCCCTACCTTGCACAAGGCTGCTGCTGGGTAACTGCACGCACACTGAGCAGTCCACAGCTCTGGGGCTTGCTGACAGTGGGAGGAAAGGAGACAGTCAAGGCACACACTGGGTGAATCTCAGGGAGGAAGCATGGGGGCTGCAGTGAGGAGAGGAGGCCTCAGCGATCTGAGAGAAGGGGACAGGAAGACCATTCCAGAAAGAGGATGGGACAGCTGAGGCTGACAGCCTTAAGGTAGGGGCAGAGGACAGAATGGTGGAACCTGGAATGGACTCTGCGTGGACATGGTGGGGAGCACAGGACAGAAGGTCAGTCAGGATATGTAGATGATGGATGAGCACTGAGGCCAGCCCAGGAACCAGGAGGCCAGAGGGTCACTCTGGAGGGAGACTTGGTTACGACTGACCTCGTCCTGGCTCAGGGCTGCTAGGCCTCAGTTTCAGGCTCTGCACTGGACCATCTGCAGTTTTCTCTGCCAGAAAATTCATCTGAAGTGTACACCAGCCAACAGAGGACATGGCTGGACCGGAAGCTCTCAGCACATTTCCTGGCTCAGCTTGGAAAGGAGATGATCTACTTAGAAGCACATTCCTAATGAGGACGGGAAGGTTTGGGGCCAGGTAGTGGGTAGGACCTCATTGGCCAGTCCTCTCAGGGCCCACTGACAGTTCCAGGTCTGTGGTTCTAGCCCGGGTTGTCTGGCAGAGAAGGGCTAGAGCTTTCTCTGAACAGCAGGGAGAGGTTGGTCTCCTCACAAAGTGCACAGAGGGTCATTTGTTCCAAGAGTCTGCAAAGAGTCCACAGGGGCTTCTCCCTGGTGGTCTAACCTGAGCTGCCAGCCACAAACACTTTGTGACACAAGTAGCTGGCTTACGGGAATCAGTGCCCAATTAGGCAACAAGCGTTCCAGCTCATGCAGTGAGGCAGGAAAGCACAGTCCATTCCACTCAGGGAATTAGTGGAAGAACAAAAAGCTCCACGGCCATGCACTACATAGCACAATGAGGTAAGAGGAACAATTTCCTTTGGAAATATTCTGCACTGAGTGGCGGTAGATGGAGACTCATTTGGGTGCCTCAGGTTCTATTTTTATAACTTGGATCAAGCTTTCAGTCACCAGTGTGACCTGAAGCTGCCTGTCCCCTGCTCCAATGAGATCCCAGAAACCTGGTGGGGAGAAAGAGGGTAAGAGGTGTCACGAGCCTGGGACACATGGCCAACCAGTGCCCACAGCACGTACTTCTGACTTCAAATGTGGCTCCATGGTGCCATCTGCGCCCCACGTAGCACAAGCTGCCACCTATTTCCTGTCTCTACCTCATTCCTTGCTTAGGTGAATTGGCTCCTCACACCTCAACTTCAAGGCCAGCTCTAGCCATTTGTGGAAGTAGGCATTTGAGGGGCTTATTCTCCTAAACACAATTAAAATAAACAAGCACTAAAAGAACAACAAAAAAGTTATACCACCTTTTCAGAGTGTCTCCAAAACCCACCAACAACCAGGAAATTGTGCTTCATGTTACAAATAAGGAAACAGAGAGGTTGGGGTAGGTAAGGGAGGAGCTGGGTGGTGGAGGCTTCCGTTTCCTCAGGGCTTTGAACAGAGAGGGCTCCAGCCTCCCGGTAAGGCACAGGTGACATGTCGGTCTGGGAATCTCAGGCTGGATCACCTCTCCAGGGCTCTGGGCCTCCAGTGGTGTGAGAGGCTGCTCTTCCTACCAGCCTGGCTACAGAAGATGCTCCACCTCGCAAGCCTCCTCCCATGGCTATCAGCTGTCCAGGTAGAAAATAGCAGAGGGCCAGGGCTACCCTTCAAGGCCAGCTCCAGACAGGCTAACCACATGCCTTCCCCCCAAGGCCTTTCTCAGAATAGCCCTGTAGGCTCATTAGAGAGAAGCAGCTCTAGGCCATCCAGATCCAGCAGAGACTGGCTGGGGAGCAGGGAGCTGGTGGGGAAAGGGCCTCATCAGAACTTCCCCGTCAGAGCCAGAACTTCCCGAGCCAGAGCAAACAGGCCTGCAGTAAT